TTAAAAATAGTACTCTGGAGGAGTAAAAATAATTGAGACATGTCTGTACTGCATGCCCAAAGACCCTCAACATATTTTTTCTTCTTTTTATGTCCCCAGTGTTTCACACCACTCATGTTTTCGAAAATTACTTATTCAGCTTGGCATTTGATTCTGAAAGGGCTCTTTATAAAGCAAGAAAATATAAGCTCTTCCTCTCTCCTCTGTACTACAGAAGATGCTGAAAACCCAGGTATTTGAAAAGGATATTTAATACTGCCCCTTTTATTAGAAAGGAAACCCACTGGTGAAAAGAGGTAGTTGAACAATAATTAGCAATTGTTCCTTCTTTTCTCTGTCCCACAGCTGATGCTAAAAGAAAACAAGAAGGCAGGAAGCCTCCAGCTCCTCCTCTCACCACAACACTTTGCTGCTGAAAATGGGAAAGAAGTGTGCAAACAAGAGAGGGCAGCATCAGCTTCTATTTATTCTTTCTTCCTCGGCCTCTCTGGGTACTGCAAGGAGGAAGGATTTGGCTCAGAAATCTCCTTACTGAGAAAAGGAAAGCCTTATTCAAAGCCCTCTCTGCCCACCATCACTCTCTGAGCTAAGCAGCAGAAAGGGTTTTGAATATATTAGAAAGCTCCCTTATACTGAGTCAGATGATTGGTCCAATTAACTCCAGTGCTGATCACATCAACTGACAGTAACTTTCTAGGGGTTTAAGGAAGGTGCTTTTCTAGTCTTATCTGGATACCAGAAATTTAACCAAGAATGTTCAAAATGCAGTCAATGTACTGAACCACTGAATTATTGTCCCCTCCCTGCCGCATTCCTTCAACTCAGTGCAATTCAGCACTGCAGCCTAAGTTACTTGTTTTCCATGATACTCCCAGATGTTTCTTCAAAAATATCAGAAATTCCAAATCACTATCAGAAAATGTAGTGAGTTGGCAACTGGCCAGGCTGCTGTTCAGCCTGGACTATACCCACTGCAAGACTTGCTTCGTTGTTCCCCTTCTTGCCCTTCCCATCCATGCAGGGAAGATGAACCTCATTGGTTGGTTCCTGTGTGGACCAGTCTACCAGTCCCTGCCTTTTCCTTTTAGGAACTGTTCCCTCCTCACTAGCCCCTCTTTCTTTATATTTCCCAGAAGTTTGCACACATGAATGACTTTACTTTCCCCCTCCCAATTATCTATGACACTAACACATACTTTCTTTTTTTCTTCTTTTTCACTCTTATGGTATCATCATAGCTCTGAGGATACAGTACAGGTAGTCCTTGCTTAATGACAATCAGGACCAGCAACTCAGTTGCTAAGCAACACAGTTGTTAAGTGAGACATCATGTGACGGTGACTTGCAATTTTACTGCTGGCTTCTCCATTGACTCTGCTTGTCAGAAGCCAGCTGTGAAGTGTGTAAATGGCAATCACGTGACTGTGGAACAATGAGACGATCATAAATGTCTGCCGGTTGCGAAGCATCCAAATCTTCATCACATGACCATGGGGGTGCTGCGGCGGATGTAAATGTGAGGACCGGTCATAAAGTTACCTTTTCAGTGCCATCATAATTTCAAACAGTTGCTTAACAGGGCAGTCATTAAGTTAGGACTACTTGTAATCAAAGCAATAGAGAAGTTGTTCTTTCATTCCTATCTGCCTCAGTAGGTCCATGGAAACTTTGTAGCAAGAAAGAACTTACAATTCAGCTTCCCAAAAATAAAGCAGCTCATTCCTTGGTTGCAACTTAAATATGTTGATAACAAATAAAGGAAACTTTGCAGTTCTGTGGGCTGGGGTGGAAAAGCTAGGGATGTATGCTTTACCCAGTCTGGAAAGAAACTGAAAGGGTGTCTGTGGGGAGATGTAAAAGTTGAATGGAGCATGAGCTTCTAGAGTTGATAGTTGATTGACTTAATGGACCATCTTTGGACGCGCGTGCACACACACATATACAGGGTGTATCAAAAGTCAGGCCCCATAAGCCAAACACAGTGTATTTTATTAAATATGTTTTTCAGAGAAAACATTACTGTACGCCTGGTTTACAGACAACCCATAGTTAAGAACGGAGCCTACTGTAGCAAAATTTGAGTTAAATACACAATGACTCAAGTTAAATACACAATTATTTGAGTTCATTAGACAATACTACTTATGCAGTATTATACAATAACACTGTTCCGACTTACCTACAAATTCAACTTAAGACCTCGGGAACGGAACTCGTTCTTAAACTAGGGTCTACCTATACTAAGCATGTTCAAAGGTCATATGTCAAATGTGTAAGGAAGTGTTTAAAAGAAAATAGCAAAGCATTCAAACCTTTGGAGTCCTTGGAGTTCTCTGAGTTTGGTTGTTTTCTTGCAAACGTTTCGTTACCCAGCTAGGTAACATCTTCAGTGCTAGAATGGAGTGGAGTTTGCTCTCTTTTTATATACTGTGGCATGCCCTGCCAGTGTTTGAGGGTGGGTGGGTTTTTCCTCTGGTAGTTCCTTGATTATGGTATTATTTACCGCTTGATTGAATGTCTGGTGATAATCTTGGTGTTAATCTCTGCTTATCTGGGTGATGATTGCTG